CCCAACATGGCAGAACAGACTGCAGACACAAATTCTACTCCGTAAGAGATGTCAAATGCTGGAATTTGCTGCCGACTGAGCTTGTCCAAGTGACTTACCAGAAGTCCTTTAAGAGGAGACTTGACTTATTCTTAAGGACTAAGGATGACATATAATTATTATTTACCGAATTCATTTCTTTTTTCCTCTATTATCGTTAATATACCTAGGTCTTTGCCTGGAAGTATTGTGATCCACTGCTATTAGACACTCGCGCTATTTAAAAAGAACAGTGGTATTTTTCCTCGTTGAGTAAATTCTATTGTTTTGATCGTTATTAACGTATCAAGACTACTGTTTTTATACTTTGATTGAATTTCTTTCAGTTAAAGTGTTCTATTAGAGTATCATTTTTGGTATCCTAAATAGTCTTATCATCGGTGCTCCAGAGTACCTTTGTTTTTCTATTGTGTCTGTTAGTACTTTGATCCTAACTATTTATAGTTTTTTTTCTACTTGTAGTCAACACTCACTTTCGCATCCTAAAATGACTGGAAGATGCAATAATAGCATTTGCCACCGCCCAGGATGTCGATATCCTGTTGATAGCGGCATGCAGTGCGATGAGTGCAAAGGTTGGTACCACGATGTTTGCACGAATCTAACACCTGCAGCTTTCAAGCGGTTCAGTAAAAATGGGTGCGTATGGCTATGTCAACAGTGCTGTTTGGATGCAAATAGCCTGTTAACCGAGGCCATCTCAATAGTAAATGCCGCAAAAAAGTGTCTCGGCAAGCGCAGTCGGGATACATCAGTCAGAACTCAATCCGTCGACACGCAGATTGACACAAGGCAGGCCCAAGTGAGTCTCAAAAATGCTGACTCACACTGTCCAAAGGAGGAAGAACATCATCCAAAGGGGTCTGTCACAACCAGAAACTCGCGCAAAAAAGTCTCTTCTGTCCCTCGTATCAAAAATGGTACCCAGAAGGGAACTTCCGCAAGGCTCGATCGGTTTCCAGCGCGAGAGATGACTCAATCTCCCAAGTCGTCCTGAACTTTCCGGAATCCCACAGTACGCCTGACGCGACTGTGGTTACCACTCCAAAGAACGTTGGCGATTGGGTACGGGTCGTAAGAAAAAAAAGCCAAAATGACGTAAAAGGAAATCATACCCCCACCAAAAGGGTCGACAAGCCGAGGTCTGATCACAGCGACAGATCAGTCATTCTTCATAGAGTCAAGGAGAGTGACAGCTTAGAACCGAAAGCTCGTTTTTGAGCATGACATTGTGTTGATAAGACAACTACTCAACCAAGGTATGCCCAAAAACATCCCCGGGGTCACCTTGCTAAAGGTGTATAGACTGGGAAATCTAGCGCACCTGAAACCAAATCAATCTAGACTACTCAAAGTCGTTTTCAAATCCCCAAACGAACGCGACTTAATCTTAGAAAATGGACACAAATTAAAGGGTTCAGGAGTTTTTCTCCGTAAGGACTTACCGTTGGCGGACCGTGTTAAAAGACGGGAAGCCGAAACAGAACTACAGCTCAGATTAGACGCTGGCGAAAAAGACCTGAAAATTGTAAATTTTCGGGTTGTGAGGCTTCGACAGAGGATGATGCCGAAGCCACTCTGGGTGAAGCACGAGGCCACCTAAATAAGCTTCGGATCTGTTATACCAATGTCCGGAGCTTGCTCAATAAGCTACCGGAATTAGGTGTACAGATTGACTCAACTAGGCCAGACATAATCGCAGTCACAGAAACATGGCTGACGCCGTCTATAGATTGTAGGGAACTTGATTTCGAGGGTTTTACATTAGTAAGGGCCGATAGAATACAAACGCGTAAAGGAGGGGGAGTAGCTCTATTCATTAGGAATGCTATTCCATTCACCATTATCGACAGTGTATCCCATGAGAGTGGGACGTATGAATTAGTTAGCTGCCGCCTGAAATGCAGGGGACAAGAGTTACTACTTAGTTTGATCTATCGCAGTCCAAGCTGTGGGGCAAACGAGGTCCTGCTAAGCAGTCTCAACACTTTATCACGAAGTGATCGATGTCTAATCCTAGGGGATTTCAATGCACCCATGGTGGACTGGGGAAATCTGCGGACTGAATCGTCAGCAAATTCCTTCGAACAGGAACTAGTTGATGCGGTAATCACATGTGCCCCAGTGCAACACGTGAAGGAAGCAACTAGGTGCGACCCGGGTTCTGCATCATCCTTACTAGATCTTATATTGATTCATTATGAGGATGATGTTGCAAACCTGGATTACGTGCCACCCCTAGGCAAAAGTGATCATGCAGTTTTAAGCTTTGACCTCCATATAACTGTCGATCACGAGTACGCTTCAGCTCAATCCAGACCTAACGTCTGGAAAGCAAACATACCAGACATCATGAAATCAGCATCATCAGTAGATTGGAAAATAGACCCAGAGTCATCAATCGAAACTGCTTAGGACGTATTCCGGAATTTATACTTAAAAGTTACCGCCCCCCACATCCCTTGGACTACACCTAAGAGACCGAGAAACTCCCCACCGTGGTTCAGTAGGGAGGTTCGCATCCTTCTCTGTAAAGGAAGGAAAATGCGGGACAGATTTAGGTTACTGGGGACTGACGAGGCAAAATCTCAGTATCAAAAGGCTCGAAATACCTGTGCCTCAACCCTCCGTAAGGCCAGAAAGCTGTACGAAGAGAAAATCGTTAGGGAATCCATAGAATGCCCTAAACGCTTGTATTCGTATATAAACCAAAGGACAAAATGAAGAAGAAATGTTCCTTCACTATGGGGAGACAGTACTGTCACATCACTAGTGGAGGACGACTTTGGCAAAGCTCAAGTATTCTGTAAATACTTTAGCGATGTATACACCATAGAAACACCCTTCTCACCAGTCCATGAAAATCCCCCACACAAGCACTGGACAGCGTAACCATTAAAGAACTCGATGTCTTTGGTCTGCTAGTTAAGCTTGACATAGGTAAATCCACTGGACCCGATGAACTGCTGTTATGCTTGAGCTAAAACGAATCCGCGCTAATGAACAAAAACCAATGACACAATGACATGATAAGCTATTCTAATCTGTTGTCCCAGGCCCCGCTAACTAGATGAAAAAGTCCAAGGCAAGTAGGGGAATATATATGTATTCCGTAAGCAGCCGAGTACAAGCAATCGAATAAGGGAAAAAGTCAAGCGCATTTATACAGCAACAATTTGTCCTTGATCATCATTAGTAAATAGCACACGCAAAGAAACAATGGACCAATAGCGTTTAAGATAATTTACAAGTGGGAAATATGGCGTGAAGGTAAAAAGAGCGCTTTTGGCGCGAAAACAGCTAAATTCAAATGTTCAAAATAAAATTACAAAACTAAGCCATTTACCAAGTAAGTTCTGGGGATTTGACATCCCCAACAACTGCATCCTAGGTTACTAAAGGAATTAGATAACTTTGTTGCGAACCCTTTAAGTGTATGTTTTAATCTATCCGTAACCCAGGGTCGTCTACCAAAAGACTGGAAGAACGCCATAGTAAGTCCAGTCATCAAAACAGGTACAAAACATAAGCCTGAGAATTACCGACCAATTAGCCTAACTAGTGTGGTTGTTAAAATCTTAGAAAAGATTATTCGGAAGGAACTGTTAAAGTATCTCGATGAAAACCGGATCCTCTCCGAAAAGCAGCATGGTTTTAGAACAGGTTACTCTTGTCTCACAAACTTATTAGTTGCTCGTGAAAGCAGGTGCGCTCTTAAGGACCAAAAGTTACCTATAGACGTAGCTTACATCGATTTCAGCAAAGCTTTCGACAAAGTTCCGCATAACCGGCTGTTATATAAGCTAAGGAATGTCGGGATTGGAGGCAATCTATTGATGTGGATAAAAGACTCCCTAGTTGGGCGTCAACAAAGAGTAAGGGTGAACTCCAAGTTGTCTATCTGGGAAACTGTGCTTAGTGGAGTCCCCCAGGGTACAGTTTTGGGGCCAGTGTTATTCCTCCTGTACGTAAATGATCTCCCTCGTCTACTATCGTCATCGGTCTTACTCTATGCTGATGATGTCAAGATATGGAGAGCGATACAAAGCAAGGGCGATAGCTTAGAACTTCAAAATGACCTGGAGAAATTATCTGAATGGTCCCAAACCTGGCAATTGCCGATAAACACTTCCAAGTGTATTGTGATGCATATTGGCCACCAGGGTACAGATACATACACGATGAATAACACTGAGTTACCTATTGTTCAGGCACACAATGACTTAGGCGTTCGTTAGTAAAGACTTAAAGACTACTGCACACTGCCGTGCAATAGCCGCCAAAGGTTTTAGGACTTTATGGTCCATACGCAGGGCTTTCAGGCATCTTGACGTTAAAACGTTTCTGACTTTGTATACAGTGTTCGTACGCCCTAAACTTGAGTACTGCATACAAGCAGCTAACCCCTGCCTAAAAAAAGACAGTGAACTCTTGGAAAGGGTTCAGAGAACAGCAACTAGGCTGATTCCCGGAATAGCGAAGCTCCCGTATGGTACTAGACTGACCAAGCTAAACCTATTCCCGCTGTCATATAGAAGAATCAGAGGCGACTTGATTACAGTTTTCAAATTGCTTAATGACAAATTTGCACCTTATATGCCCTCATTTTTCTTGTCTTCCAAAACAGAAAATCTACGAGGACACTCCAAAAAAGTTCACAAGCCCCGAACGAATTACTTGTCAGCTGACTACCGACTTTCCCATCGAATAATAAACGAGTGGAATTCATTACCTCAGCACGTGGTTGAGGCTCCATCCGTCGACTCCTTCAAAAGAAAGTTGAATCAGCTGAGAGACCATCATTGCCAGGACTAACACAGGCCATCAAGCCTCCTGTCCTTTCCAAACTGAAACTGAAACTGAAACTGGAAGCCCGTTAAGCGAAAGTTTCTTCTATTCCGTCCTCAACCATTTGAACCACTTCCAAGGCCAGATCAAAAGCGCATTATTGACTCAAGGTCATGACTCCTATTTACCATGTGCTGAGGTCGGTCATTTTAGATTTCTTTGGTCGAGGTAAATCTGTTCATCTTCGTATAACACACTTAGTTAAGCCTCTAGTTTTATCTACAGATGTGGCAGTGTTGTACCCTTCACCTTTTTTTGGACCACTTAAGTTATGGGAAGACTCAATTTTCTTCGCCGTGCCTAAAAAACGTAGGACCGCAGAACAACGGCGCATACGAAAATTTCTATCCTGTAAGTTTCCTTTTTCGCTTTACCTAAGATTTGTAGTGAGATCCGGTGATTACAAACCTAGAGATGATCTAACACCCTGTAAATTCTGTGGACATTTAAACCCTCGAAAATTTCTATGTAGTAAGTTGTATGATGGGTTGTTATTATTTTCAGTACATTGAAAATTTAATTGTCTTGAATAATCAAATTCGTCTACATTCAGACATGTTGTCACTCTGAGGTAGTAAGCGTGATTCCTAGTTGCTACTGGGCTCCTAACTTGGGATAAGAATTGATCAGTTTACGGTAAATTTTAGGACAGTTCACCAAACGTTTTGGGAAAACACAACCAAAATTTCCCAAAGCTGTGATCTTACTCAAAATAATCACTCAATTCGCCCTAACTTTTCATTGGAAAAATTTTATGAATTGCTAACTGAAGATCTCAAAATTCTTACTGTTTTTGGGTTTCCTCCCAGAATTCTTCCAGGTCCATAATTCTTGAGAATCGTCTTTACTGACTTCACAAACATCCTGATTTTCTTACATCAAATAGAAATCTATAAACGAGTCCACGGACTTTAACCCGTAATATCGCATAATCGGCACTGATAATCTGAACAGAAGCTACAGTGAGACTATAATTTATGGACTAACCAATTACGTATAAAGTTACAGGTCACCGATTTCGGCCTCGAATTCACTCGTCAATTTTTTTGGCATTATAGCTGATGTCAGTTCGTGATAAAAACCCTAAATCTAATTATTAATCCTAACCGTCAACTGTAAATCATAATTCCGATTCCTCACACTGGTTTTATAGCCTTCCTTTGGTCCTGGTTACTATGTGGACACTCTGAAGGTCGTCCACAAATCATAGTCTGATCGAAACTACGTCTTCGATCTGTATAAAGACCTAATTGTTCACCATAGTTACTACGATAAAAAACAGCCAGTCACAACGTAGAACGTGGCTTAAAACCGTTTTCAACTGCGCAAGTGCATCCATTTTTCGCTCTCCCACAAATTCCGAATTCCCAATAAGGAATAGCCACTTAAACCGATGTTTATACGCATAGGTTCTACGTTGTGACCGATTGAACTTTTACCCTAGTAACCATGGTGGACAATTGGGCTTTTACACAAATCGAAGTTAATAAGAATATCAGTGCCGATTATGCGATATTACGGGTTAAAGTCCGTGGACTCGTTTATAGATTTCTATTTGATGTAAGAAAATCAGGATGTTTGTGAAGTCAGTAAAGACGATTCTCAAGAATTATGGACCTGGAAGAATTCTGGGAGGAAACCCAAAAACAGTAAGAATTTTGAGATCTTCAGTTAGCAATTCATAAAATTTTTCCAATGAAAAGTTTGGGCGAATTGAGTGATTATTTTGAGTAAGATCACAGCTTTGGGAAATTTTGGTTGTGTTTTCCCAAAACGTTTGGTGAACTGTCCTAAAACTTACCGTAAACTGATCAATTTTTATTCCAAGTTAGGGGCTTGGTACAGGATAGCTTTATTATTGTGTAGCGTACTATTTGTTTTAAAAGTGAGAATCACTTATAGCATGCGTTGAACTGTGACTCATTAGCATTGAATTAAAATAATTAGTCTAGTAAACCAGGAAATTCATTTTTTGTTCTAAAACGACGTACTGATCTAAAATAGTTTCAGAGTATTATCTTAATTGATGAAAACAAATGCCTTCATGTTAAAAAGATAAACCATTGTATAAACTGCTAACTTGCCAAATTCCGTTGGGTAAATTTCAAGTGTTGTTCAGAATATATCATAGCACTAGCGTATGAAGTTACCAACTATCGGTTTAAGCCCAATACAGGTTTAATGAAAATATTCTCATCAAACACAACCAATTTTACTATCTATTTTAACTTCCAATAGCTGGGATTGTACCGAACCAGTTTGGCGACTAAATAAATTTTCCCTTGAGCAGCTTCAGCTTCGCATTATACTTGTATTTGGATAGCCAGAGACTCCCCAGATATCTGTGAGTGTTGATGAGAGAGCAAATACTCGCTGATTTTAGACAACTGCCAAGCACATACTACTTACGGTGTTTAATATCATTTTTAAATAAATAAGAGTAAGTGCATCGATTTATTTCACTAGCTTTTTGGATAATTGTTTAGAATTTGGTGTATCTATTTTTGAAGGGAGCTTGGATTAATCTAGCAAATGCTTCGTTTTTGTACTCAGCCAAATACACCCACATGAGTACAATTTGGTGAATAACTGATCTTCAGAAAGTTACTCCTAAAAGGAGATTCAATGTTCTGTCAACCAACTCTACTAATAACTAAAAGCCTTAAGATCAGCATGTATGAGTTCTTCCTAATATCTTTCAAAGTATTAGTGAAGATAGTTAGGTTTCGAAATGGTGAAGAAATCAGTGGGTTTTTTCTAAACTGGATTGCTTTGTCATGAAGCTTTCATTGTTCTTCTGGACAGCATTGAGAAGACTACTGTTAACTAAAAGCGATTTAGTTAGGACATGTAGTATAAAATATATATTACATCGCTTCAAATGATGTATAACACCAGGATCGGTCCTCATTTACATTCATTAGTTCAGTTTTCTACTACTTTAAAAATCTTTACCGAGAAGTAAAATAATGCTATGTTCTCCTCTTCATCTTGTTTTTGACTTGACTTTTTAGCCAACTGTTACAGTAAAGTACGTGAGGAGACTAACTTTTTACGTTCCCTCATCAATGGTCAACTTCCAAGTGATCGCGAAGTGAAATTTGTTTATAATGATGACAACGGCACTAACGCATCCGTTAACAATGCGGAAGTCAAAGTCCCTGGATCTAGACCTTCGTGGTTCCCATCCATTCCACAAGAAACAAAACCTCCAGGTGGTGAGAATTCATAACGCTGTTGTACATTAATTCATTGTTTTATGAGCTCCTAGATGACAGTTTATAAATACACAATCATACCTCCTATTATTTTTCTTATTTGTACTGTTACCTTATACACTATCTAAACATCTCAGTCAGATTTACCTTCAATTACCCAGTATTAGTTTTTATGCTTATTGGAATTTTATATGACGTCGATTCGGCACACAGTGCTGAAGTCAATTGAATATTATGGTGATGGAATCACTTAGTGATATTTAATTTCTAAGATATATACTTATTTCTGGGCAAAATGCTTTACTACCCTAGGGTATATCTAGTTTATCAATAACATATTACTTCTCAGAAACAATACTAGTTTCTATTTTTTCGTAGTCGATATCCAGATCTACATTTGATCATTGTCGGTTGAGATATAGGATAAGATGCGCCCTGTGGATCCCATTGCTAGCTAAAATACTGAACTTTCTTTACCCAATTTGGCGTCACCTATTACCGCGTCTGTGCACCATCCAGCGGTTAACTGATCTGTTATAATGTGTTGATACCGGGGTAGGAGTATTAAGTTTAAATACCGTCAGTAGCCTTTTGTGCAACTACCGTAAGCTTTGAATATGAGTGATCATTTGATTTGTGTGCTTTAACGTTTCAGCGTAATATTGCAAAACACAAGTGAGTAGTCAAGTATAGTCCCTGTGGTCGGTCTTATGTAAGGGTTAATGATGGCATTCTGCTGTCCAAACTGAAACAGGGTTTAGACTTACACTGCAATAGTTGGCATTCTAGTTTGTTTGTTACAGTGGAGGTTTGCAATGCTCAAATGTGAGCACATTAACTTAAATCTCTAGACAGATTTTAAATAATTAGTCACACCTCAGCCTCGCTAGTGTTCACATCTCAAATCTGCTCCAAAAGGTTCGACAGTCATGATAATCAGTTACTTTAATGTACAAACCCAGATTCAAGCGAAATTCTAAGCTTCCGATTCAAAAAATTGCTGGAAATCGTCTGAACTGTAGTTCACACGAGCACCGGACACAGTATTCTCAGATTTTTGCAAATCGAGGACTTGTCTTTCATTGTTTATCAAAGAAAGGACCTGGAAGTATTTACAGATGACTCAATAGAAAACACAACGGATGTTATCACCTGTTATCTTAAATTCTGTTTTGATATTTGCTGTCCTACTGAAACCTTCTTTTTAAGTTTTGATCGACTTACATCTCCACAACTAAAACGACTACGGAGGATAAAAGAAAGGATATACAAGGAGAAAAACACTATTGAAGTTTGTAAGTTAGATGGTCAAATAAGCCTAGAGATTAGACGTCTCAACTCTGTGTTTACTCAGAAACTCCTATCTTGTAAAAGCTCTCCAAGTATGTGGAAACTGTATAAAGAAATTACAGGGGACAGGCAGACTAGAAGCGATAACCAGCTGAATGTTTGTGACTTAAATAAGTCCTTTATTCGTCAGTCATCTGACATCATGCTTCCTATATCCAAGGGTCTGAAGAATAATTGTGTCCCCAGTTTCACTGAAAATGATGTACGGAAATGTCTCCAGTCTCTGAATTCATCCCAATGTTTAGGACCTGATGGTATCCCAAACTTCCCTTTAAAAAAAGTGCTGATGTTTTATGTTATCCATTAACGAATATCTTTAACAGATTCTTCTCAACTAATGTCTTACCGAAAATGTGGAGAAAGATAAAAATAATCCCTATACCAAAGAAAGCTTCTGGTGATAAAAATGCGAAACTTAGACCCATTGCAATAACTTCACTTTTCCTTAAAATAATGGAAAAATTACTGATACAACCACTTCAACCTGCAATAAAAGAGCACTGTGATCCATATCAGTTTGCTTACAAATGCAAAAGAAGCACATTAGATGCCGTTGCTGTTCTGCATCACAATATAGTGTTCGGGTTGGAAAAGGGTAAGAAGTATGTTAGATGCGCTTTCCTGGACTTTACTTCTGCTTTTGATTCTATTCCAAGACATCTCTTACTTAACAAGCTGATCAGCGTCGGCACTGACAGCTGGATAACCAATTGGCTATGTTCCTACCTTTCTGGAAGAGAACAGTACACTGTATTTGAAGGAAAGTGTTCAACATCTCTACTGTTTAATGTAGGTGTGTCACAAGGGGCTGTTCTTTCACCTTTGCTCTTCTCTTTTTTTCTGCATGATCTGCCATCTTCCACAGAAAACACTTTTGTAAAATATACGAACGACCTCACTGTATGTATGCCGATTTCTACCTCCTTACATCCCATAGAAATGAATGAGTTTTTACCTCGTATTGAAAGGTGGTCTGTTGGTAATGGTCTCTTATTCAATCCATCTAAATATCAAGCTGTTAATTTTAACTTGAGAAATGGACAGAACCTACACTCTATTTTGGGATCCCATAATGCTTGTGCCATTGGAGACTCCTTAATAAACACAGTGTCGAAGGTCAAATATCTTGGTGTCATTTTTCCTCTGATCTTTCTTGGTCTTCTCATGTTTTACTCTTATCGAAAAAAGTCTACCGTTTGACATACTACATAAGGAGGCTGCATGCTTTTGGGATTACTCTTACAATTTGTAAATTCCTGCATATTACCTATTGTTCTCCATTATTCTTTCCTGGGCTTTTGGGAAAAGACTGCTGTTTTGCGTAGAGTGCTGAAGGCGGTTTGCAAGGTATGTGGTGAATCTTTTGAAGTAATTATTAATATGCTTGTGGATAGGCATCTTAAGTCTTGCAAACTCTTGGCAGGTGTTACCTTATCAGATACTAACCATCCGTTTCATTCATATCTTTCTCCTTGTATATTTTCTGGTAGAACGAGACGTAAATACATTAAAATCCATACACGCAAGCAAATCTATGAAAGTTCTGTAATACCCTACCTAGCAAATTTACTTTGTGACGAACAGGCTGTTAGAGTTGACCTAGTAAATAACCTGTATTCTTAAGCATGTCTCAAATTCGATAATTTGTATAAACTCAGATTTTCTTAAACCTTTTTATTTTGGTTTTTTTGTTTTGGTAAAAAAAACTTGTTGAGATAACTCGTGCTGAGAATTCTATGTTGTACCAAATTATAATACTGAGTAAAGCCATTAATAATAATAATAATAATGAAGTAGGCGGCTACTTTAGGGGCTCTTCTGTAGAACATAAAAACTATTCATGCATAAGAACTACTTCGGACTTAAACTAAAACCTAAGCATACTTGTAAAATAACTAACCCGAGGGCCATAGCAATTTGGTTTCAACGTGCGACTAATTAACAGACTTAAAATCGACTGAAATGTTAATTAGGCGGCCCGAAAACCAGGGGTTTCTTCCACTTATTGATGCTGATGGACTTGCTTCGGCGGCTGCTATTCACGATTAGTAAAAAGAGTAGAGGCAGGTGCTATAGCTTAATTACATGTGGAAACGATAACCAACAGATTACTGCACAAGGTGGTACAACGTTTACGTTTTTTACCTAGAGCGAATGAGCAGTCACCAAACTCTATTTACAGCTGCTTTTAAATACTAAGTGTTGAGGAGGATATATACATTCAAGCAAGCTTGCTTGACCATTCTACTGACTTCAGATAGAAGTTTCCTTTGAAATAATCGTCCTACAAACCTTTATCTGACTCCGATTACTGATCTCACTTAATTGTGCTTGTTTTCTCAGATATCCCATTTTGCAATAAGTTGAAACAAGAACGCGAACTGTTTGGGATCATATTTTTATTTTGCAAATGTTAATACGCACACAAACTATTAGTAAAAAAACAGAGAATGCCAATGAATCATGTGGTACGTGGGCCCTAATTTGCAGCTAAATTGCGCGATATTTAGATTGATCAGGAAACCAATTACCACGTTAATTAGCGACTCAAGTTATGTAGCTATATATTTAATGCAGTAAATGGACAGGCATCCATCTAAGAAATGTACAACTATAGGTTAAAATTAAGTATAAGAATCATATAATTATTAGTAGGATAAGAATGACATCTAATTGTCTGATCCTGTGTTTGTCCAAGCAGTAATGGATTTGCGTAGCAGTGAAAAATGAGGTTACTAAATCTCTATTAAAAACGTTATGTTTGAAAAATGGAGAAAATTTTTTTGAAGCGATACATCCATTAGCTTTAAATAGGTTCAGTGATGTGCAAACAATCGACGCGAAATAAACATCAGGATCTGCTACAGTTACGCACAAGTTTATCAATGGCTCAACTTGTGTATTATCAAGTCCAGTTACACACTCGTCAGAATTAGACAGGTAAATCTTCCGATATAACGAGATACTGATTTAATGTCATTTATGGTCAACCGTTTTCGATCAAATTGTCAAACTAAGTGCCAATGATGAAGGCAAATATTTCAACGCGGAAGCTGTACTTTCCTTTTTGACGATTTCATTTTTAGAAGCTGTACATACTTGAAATAATTAGTATGACGAACGCGTTTTGTAGTTCACCATGAATGTATATAATGAGTGGAGTTTATGATATGCAAAACATATTATTCACGAATAAATAAATGAAGTTCAGACTGACATATGATATACTAAACTTTAAAGTCACAACTACAAGATGGGGAGTTCTAATGGAATGAAGGTCACTATATATAAGATTGATTGTGAAATATATTTAGATGTAAAAAAGGGACGAGTATACTGCGCAGCAGTTCGCTCTGTCCTACTTTACGGCTGTGAAACATGGCCATTAAGAGTAGAAGATACTCGTAGGTTACTAGTATTTGACCACAGATGCCTTAGAAATAGTGCTCGCATCTGCTGGGATAACCGGGTAAGTAATAGTGAGGTTAGACGCAGGGTATTAGGGAACGATGGTAAATCAGTTGATGAGGTGATGAATCTTCATCGACTGAGATGGTTGGGCCATGTGTTACGTATGCCTGAACACCGATTACCACGACGCGCTATGATGACTAGTATTGGGGACGGTTGGAAGAGAGTTAGGGGCGGCCAAACCAAAACATGGCATCAGTGTTTGAAGTCACTAACTTCTAGCCTGAGCCATGTTGGCAGATGCAGACTACCTGGTTGGGGTCCGCGTGACTATCGTAACCAATGGTTGGAGACTCTAGGTGACATGGCTCAGAATCGGTCACAATGGCGTAGGTGTATACACTCTTTATCTTCCCTTAAACCTTGAGACTAAAATTGCTTCATATCTCTCTTCCTTCCTGTACTATATCCTTATATACAACCTATAATTTATATACTACTACCAACACTAGATTAACTACTATGAATCCGGTGTTCCTCTTGTTGTGCTAACGAGGTATGGCAACTTGGACCGATGCATATATGTGCCTGGTCCTACGTTGTAGCTGACCTGACCTGTAAAAAATTACAAAAGATAACTATGAATTATAGGGGAGTCACAAACACTAAGAGTTGAACACCACGGATACCGATTTTAAAAATTCGGTTATCCCTAATGGTAAGTTACACTGCATCAAAGCTATTGTTTTTATCTTAATTTTACGAAAAGTTGGCAATTTATGAGTAGAAAGACAAACTGTAATTCCCAATCTGTACACCTTTGTGATGTATATTCGGAAATTATAGATGTTAGTCTTTAATGTATGCTAGGTGACTGGTCTATGGAACTGAATAAGCCAGGCATATTTCAAAGCTGTCTATACCAGCTTTTTTAACACATTTTCGCAAAAACCTAAGTTCATTTTTTTCTTTCTATTTTGATCAGCACTAACACAAATATGTAAGTACTTTTAGCAACCCAGAAGCACGCAGGAACGTTTGTCGCATAGCTAAAAATGCTGATGTCTATCAAAACTGGCTCTTCTTACTAAGAATTTAATTTTTATAAAGCTTTATATTGTCAACGAAAATAAATCAATTGAATTTCGATATGTTACTTCAGCTAGCTCTTCTTCGCTTACTCGTTTCACAGCAGAAACAATTTCTAGAACTTGAACAAGGTTAGCGGGTTCATTGCGTCCTTTGACCATGTGGGATTCATCCCATGAATTATGCTTGCGATAAGTGTGATGTGTCTTAACAAAATGATATCCTAAGAAGGGAAAAATGAGATCAGTTCTACATTACCTGCATGAGTTCTTCTAATATCACACCAAGGAGCGTCTGTTTCTAATAAAAGCCGATCAAGTGGAATTTTCTGCACAACCTGCGAACAGAAAAAAATTGAAATATGCTCGACTACTATTACTAGCGTCTCTATAAATAGAGTTACTCATCTCTCCCTAAACATTAGGTTTTATCAGCACCCTTTTAGTGGCTTACGTCACTTGGAGGTACAAATATAGAACATCCCTAAAGAAGCCACATCCAGTCCATCTGAACATAACTATGAGGACAGTAGCAGGTTACTGGTAAAAGTGGCCAGTTTCACCAACTGGAAGATAGTTAACATTTGATTGTTTGCTAGGTTACTGGAAAGTAAGGGACCTTCCACAACAGTCTTATTAGCGATTCGTAGGCAGAGTATAACCTTGAGACCATTCAGTTCGTATTAGAGTTAACCGGTTTTGTAGTCAGTCAGTCACAACGTAGATCTTTGTACGTACGTACATCAGTTCGAGTTGCCATACCACATTAGCACAGAGATGCAGTTGTCCATTCAAATCCCATAGTGGTAGAAGTAGTAAGAGTATAAGCAATAATCAGAAAGGTTAGGGGTTGAAGATGTCATTCAAGAGGTATAATCCAGTGAAATAAATTTGGAAAGAGAAAATAAGGATAGAGACATGGAGAATTCAGAATTTGGGAAAACACAAAGAGTGGATGCATCTTCGCCATTGCAAACGATTTTGAGCAACGTCATTCAAGGTCTCTAACTATCGATTGCTATCATCTCGCGGATCCCAACAAGGTAGTCTACACCTACCAGCATGGCTCAGTCCAATCGCCAGCGACTTCATGGATTTGTGCCATGTTTGGGTCTGGCCACCCCTAGATTTCTTTCAACCTACTTCTACATCATAAAACATTGCACGCCGGGGCAGTCGATGGTTGGGCATACGTAACACATGTTCCAGCCATCTCAACTGGTGAAGTTTAACTACTTCGTCAATTGATCTACCATCCTTACCTAGTACCCGTTTTCTGACAACTGCATTACTTATCCGGTGGTCCCAGGATATACGAGCAATGCGTCGAAGACACCTATGATCGAATACTAGTAGCCTACGAATATCATATACTTTTACCGGCCATGTTTTACTGCCATAAAGTAGGATGGAATGGACTGCTGCACAGTAAACCCGTCCTTTGGTTGCTAGACGGATATCTCGCCTACGCCTTAGGTGACGCAAGTTGGCAAAAGCTAGACGAGCCTTCTTTATCCGTGCTGAGATTTCGTCACACACCAGACCACAAGGGCTGATGAGGCTCCCAAGATAAGTGAGGCTGTCAACACGCTCAACTAATTCACCCCCTATCATTAGTTCAGGTGTCGCTGCAACCCAATCCTGAAATAACATTTTGCACTTCGAGGGAGAGAATCGCATCCCGAACATGCCTGCACAGTTGCTTATAGTGGTCAGAAGACTCTGCATGTTGTCAGCGTCTTCACCGAGTAAAACTATGTCGTCGGCGTATTATAAGTCAACAAGTGAGCCTCCTGGTAAAAGTTCAACTCCAGGAGATTGAGATGATGACAGTGTTATCTCTAAAAGTATGTCAATGACAAAGTTAAACAAGAATGGGGAGAGTGGACAGCCCTGACGAACGCCACTTGTGGTAATCAGTTCTGATGACAGTTCGCCATAGGCTCTAACTCGACCAGTTGTGTTCGAGTAGAGAGCCTTTATGAGGTTAATGTACTTCTTTGGTACTCCTTTCAGTGACAAACATTGCCATAGAACCTCACGATCAACGGAGTCAAATGCCACTCTAAGGTCAAGAAATACTACTATTGTGGGACGTCTGAATGTATGTCTATGTTCTAGGACCTGACGTAGGGTGAATATCTGGTCTATACAACCACGTCCAGGTCGAAAACCAGCTTGGTTTTCTCTAGTCTGCTCTTCACGAGCTTTGGTTAGGCGACCTAGTATTATTGAAGCTAATATTTTAGACACTATATTAGTCAAACTGATCCCTTTGTGATTGTCACAAGAGGACTGTTGTCCTTTCTTATAGACTGGCACAATCAGTGATTGGGACCAGTCAGATGGAATTACATCCAGTTCCCAGATTCTAACTAAGACCTCAGTCAGTTTCGCTGCTAGTACCTGGTCAATATCACAGCCCTCACACAAATTAAATGGGATTTGTTTGGCACATATATATCTAGTGCCTCTTTGTACCAATATTTATGTGTTTAAATAAGTAAATTTGGTCGAGACAGCTACGACCAGGTCTGAAGCCAGCCTGATTCTTTCGTGTTTGCAGTTCACAAGCCTTAGTTAGGCGCCCGATAATTATTGAGGCTAGTATTTTAGATGCTATATTAGTCAAACTAATCCCTCTGTGGTTATCACAGGATGATTTTAACCCCTTCTTATATATTAGGACAATCAGTGATTGAGACCAGCCAAACAGGATTACGTCCAACTCCCAAATTTGAGCTAAAATATTAGTCCATCTAATCGCTAAAACTCGACCACCATCATCAAAGACTCCTGGAGCCAATCCATCTGCTCTTCCTCGTTTCAGATTAGCTATGGTTTTCGGTACTTCAATTAGAGTCGGGGGTCTACTTCAATGTTCCATTCAGACTGTTTGGGAATAGTGGATAGTTGTAAACAGAGTAAGGACTACTGATCACCATCAAAAATAAAACGTACGTAGTTGGAAAACTCTGATTCCAAACCAATGGTGCACATCGGCTCCAGGACCCTGAGGGAACAAACGGTGTATGAACCAATTACTGGTCAACGGCTACAATGAGACTGCATCTCCTGACGTTTCTCCACTGCCTTGTGCATGAGACCTGTAGGTTGAAGGCTCCGTCCAGGTGTAGCGTCCTAAGAAAACCACCTGTTTTAGTTTGGGAACCTGGACAGTATTCCAGCACCCACAAAAATCGAATGATTTATGTGGAGCATATCTATTTTGTGCCTCGTTGCACCAATGTTTATTTAAATAATAACAATAATAGTAATAATAACGACAATGGTAGTAAGCAAATGAAGTCCTATGTGATACATATTTTGGCATCTTACTTCCAAATTACTTTGGTTTTTCAGACTGCAACCGTTGACACCAATATACAATCCCATATCAGTGAAACACTTAACCATTTCATCTGTCCCATCAAATGAGTGTACAACACCTCGAAAAGGTTTGTTTTGAAAATATTTATGCTTAGCATTTTTGATCATGTTTAGAAAATCTTCATGTGCAGCTCGACAATGCAAAAACAGGGGTAGATTAACATCACTGGCCAACTTAAGTTGGATGTCAAAATATTCTTTCTGGATATCTTTTGGGCAAAATTCTTCACTGTAAGTTGAAATAAAAAAGTATTTGTAACTACCGGTCATAATCGAGACCACATTCACCAACAGCTACTACTTTTTTCGTCGTGAGAATTAGGTTTTCCAGTTTATTAAGGTAGTTATCGGGATCATCGTTAAACTCCAAACATTTTGTAGGATGGCATCCAACTGTACAAAAGAGGTCCTCATCAGATTCACATAGGGAAATAGCTTCTGCACTATCAGTGAGTGATCCTGGTTTGAGTTGATCGGAAACGTCAACTAATCTAACCTCCAGTTATAATTATTTTCTCCACACCACATTTCCTGGCTCGACATAAAACATTGTGATAATCATTTTTATGCTGAAGTACGCCACGATATACACCCGTGAAGACTTTGTCAGTAAGATTAGCACCGATATCAACAAGCCGTTTCATCGAAATATGGACAATCTGTATTAGACCGTTTGGAAACTGCGATTTGTAGTTTAAAAAACAGAAATTTTGAAATGATTACTTAAACGCTATTGGATATTTGGTGAAAAACATAACGTTAAACAGTCCTCATAATGAAGTTCAGTAAATCCTAGATGAGAGGTTGGATTTAATTCAAGGTCAACCTGGCAAAAACCACACCTATTTTCAAATAACCTACACGAGTATATCGTACATACGAACAATACCAGAAATATCACAGAAACCCACAATGAAGTAACTGAAATTGTTAGTGAGAACGCAGGTAATTTTTTGGATGGCTTGATTTCTTTCAGGCACCAATTATCTAAGAGAATCGACAGATTATAACCCCACCTGTAGCTCTTCGAGAGTTACTGCCGGTCCCAAGCCCAGGCAAAAGAGGAGAGTTGGGCATAGGGCCAGCAACCCTATCCCGCAGATTAAAATGTTGCTAAAAAATCCTAACCAGATTAAACCATTTAAACCATGTCCTCCGAGTTGAAGGGAGAATTATGACGCCTCATGATGAAAACCGAGATTCTTCGGATGGTACTAGGCCGTTGCTCCTTCTAATAAACACAGAAGCAATTATTACAGGTGCAGAGAATGTACGGAAAATGTGGGAGACTGGGAAAACCAACCAAATAGCTACAGAAATGAGGATATACAACTTGGCAGTTCTCAGAATCAATTGAAGCCAATGGACAAAATCTGAATAGTAAAGGTGTAGTGACCTACTTTTACGACGAGAACGCAATTGGTGTAATGAAAACAATTATTATTACAATCAATTGTACCAGTGGTTCTACTGTGCCTGTATAACTGCACCCAAAGCACTTTTCCTTCCGTTGTCCATCTTGCTTGTGTGAACGCTTTTACACAATGCCATTTTGCCTGTAATCCATTCTTTCGATACCACGAGATCGCCAAAAAATGTATCTTATCTGGACCACAAACAGCCTTCTGTTTTTTTGCCTACCGAGGGATCCAAGTTGATATCTGGCACATAATCTTATTGTAGTGGTGATCACAGTCAATCGCTACTCGACACCCATCTACATCTGGCTATTTATGTTCTCAATGTCCGTCAACAGTTCACCGAGTGTTCCTTAATCTTTCATACCACCTTTAATGGACAAGACTAATATTTAGGATAAGATACAATGTCTCTTGAATATCCCTACACTTCGGCACAATGAACAGGACAAATGACTGGAGTACCGAAAACGTCATCTATCAGTCACGGTAATTTATAATCTATGTGGCTAAATAATAAAGTATGCCTAAGAGAAGTTTTCCCTGCGGTAGATCATGAGGGAACACCCACAAAATATGTGCACGTTTACTGCAAACTGTTGGATTTCCTACAGGGATTGAAAGTAATGAGTGTATCAACAGCGAACTATCGCAGAGCCCTAGCCAAATCAGCCATCAAGCTGACTCTTTCTTACGTTGCATGACAGATAACTGAACGCTGGACAGGTTATCGTACAATGTTCAGGTTAAGGATGAGTAATACCGTGTCATGGACTAGGGCATGGGCCAAGGATTGTGTTATGTATTTCTCCATTTTCTTCCTGTAATACACTTTTTCATTAGGCCCGCTCCTGTTCTATGCGATTGTCATAGTAGACACATTACCTGCACATCAGGACGAGGCGATCCAGATCGAATATCGCATGGGAATTATGACTTTGAATTAAAATGTGTTTCATTATTCTCATCCCAACCGAGTAGACCTCGAATATGACGTGGATATTCGGGGCATGACAACTCTATTGTCCATACTATTTAATTGTCGAAAGATCCAAAACCTAATCGAACCAGAGGTCAAAAATGAAGGTTTTTAAGATAAATTCGGTAAGCAGTCAGCAAGAGATCTTTTTTGGATGTTTTGTGTGATTGCGTGTGCAAGTACACACTTTCGTAATCCATTCTTCTTGTTCACCTCAGCTGCACATTTAGCTGAGATTTTGATTCTGGTTGTTGTTTTTGTTTTTTCATGCTTTAACTGAGTTTCTATGCTTCACAATAATTATTTTACTTGAAATATTTAGCTATGCTGTGGATGCCAGTATATTGATTTGTTTCGTTTTGTGATATTTGCGTGACTAAAATTGTGCAATGTTTTAGTTGTGAATTGAAGTAATCTACCAGAGATGTAATTAATTACTGTTGTGGCAAGTTATGAATCCGCTGTAACTTTTCTGGAGTTACTGCCGGTCCCAAGTTGGGCCCTGGGAGTTGAAAAAATTATTATGACGCCTCATGAATGAAGCGGAAAATTTTGAAAAGACCAGCTCCATTGAATCTACTTGACATGGAAGCAGCAAACATTGACCTTCCAATAGATGTCACTCCACCAACGACCGACGAAAGCAAGATGGTCATCAGACAAATCAAGAATGGGATAGCAATAGGACCTGACAACATACCAGCTGAAGCACTGAAGTCATACACTGAAGTAACTGCAAATATGCTTAACCTTCTTTTCAAGGTGAAAAGAAGAATAACTCATCAGGATACCGAAGAAAGGAGATGTGAGCAAATGTGAGAACTACAGAGGTATCACGCTGATGTCGGTTCCAAGAATAGTTTTCAAAAGAGTGTTGCTGAATCGGATGAAAGACGCAGTAGACACTCGACTTCGAGATCAACAGGCTGGATTCCGAAAGGATAGGTCGTGCACAGACCAGATTGCGACACTACGGATCATCGTAGAACAATCAGTTGAGTAGAATTCATAACTATACGTCAATTTCATTGACTATGAGAAGGTGTTTGATAGTGTGGACAGGAGAACATTATGGAAACCTCTTAGACACTATGGAGTTCCTGAAAAGATTGTCAACATTATCCAGAACTCATACAACGGACTACAGTGAAAAGTGGCGCATGGAGGACAGCTGACAGATGCATTTCCAGTAAGGAGCGGAGTCAAACAAAGCTGGCTACTCTCCCCCTTCCTCTTTCTTCTGGTGATTGACTGGATTATGAAGACTCGGATATCTGGGGGGAAGCACGGAATACAATGGACATCTCCGAACCAATTAGACGATTTTGACTTCGCAGAAGACCCATCCCTCCTATCTCATACACACGAACAAATACAGACGAAGAAAGCAAATGAAGCAGCAGCCTCCGCATCGATAAGCCTCAACATTCACAAAGGAAAAAGCAAGATTCTCAAATGCAACATGGAGAACACCAACTCAATAACAGTTGATGGCGAAACTATGGAAGAGATGGAGACATTTAAGTACCTGGGAAGCGTCATTGATGAACAAGGAGGATCTGATGCAGATGGAAAGGCGATGATGAGCAAAGCGGGAACCGCATTTCTACAATTGAAGAACCTTTGGAACCTAAAACAACTCTCAACCAATATCAAAGTGATAATCTTCAATACGAACGTCAAGACAGTCCTACTGTACTCAGCTGAAACGTGGAGAAGAAGTATTCATAAACAGTTGTCTACGCAAAATACTCAACATTCGCTGGCCAGATGCTATCAGCAACAGCCTACTGTGAGAGAGGACGAACCAGCTTCCAGCTGAGAAGGAAATTAAGAATAGACGTTGCAAGTGGATAGGACATACATTGAGGAAATCACCAAACTTCATCACGAGGCAAGTCTTAACTTGGAATCCGGAAGAAAAGCGGAAAAGTTGAAGGCCAAAGAACGCATTACGTCGGGAAATAGGAGCAGATATGAATAGGACGAATGTTAACTGGAAAGAACTAGAAAGGATTGTCCAGGGCAGGGTTGGATTGAGAATGCTGGTAGTTGGCCTATGCTCCTCGGTGAGGGGTAACAGGCGGGAGTAAGTAAGCCATTGCACAAGCAAGTGGTTATCAGGACTCAGTAACTAAATGGATAACGTGACAGAGCTTGAAGCGAACGTTACTGGGTTCATGTCTCTGAGTGAACATCAAATCTGGGATGCAGTACACTTAGCTGACGAGCCCCAAATAGGACGAAACCCGTATCCTGGATTTCACTGCTAGCCACTATCCATATTTGCTTATTATGCTTGTGAATTAAAGCTATATCGAGGCATTACGCACAGTATGCACATATGCCAATAAGAGACTGATCAATTGCAGTCCTAAACGTCAATGGGAAGATTAACCAAACAATACCAAGTGAAATGGCTATAACCTTTATAATAACCTGCATCACTGAATTACTGAAATGTTTAGTCGTTGATTTACTTACTTAATTACTTACATATGCCTGTTACACCCAATGGAGCATAGGCCTTCAATCAGAATTTTCCAACACACTCTGTGATGTGTCTTCCTTTCTAGTTCTCTCCAATGGTTGTTCATTCCTCTCATATCTGTTTCCATTTCTCGGCGTAGTGTGTTCTTTGTTATTCCTATTTTCCTTTGGCCTTCGGAATCCCAAGCTAGGGCTTGCATTGTGACGCAATTTGGTGGTTCTCTCAATGTATGACCTATCCACTTCCAACTCTCCTTGCTGATTCCTTTCTCCACTGCAACCTCGTTTGTTCTCTCCAACACTAGTTTATTGCTCATAGTGTCTGGCCAACGGATCTTACTATTATGCGTAGACAACTACTGATAAACACTTGTATCTTCTGCATTTTGATGGCTCTCGTAGTTTTCCACGTCTCCGCCACATACAATAGAACTCTCTTGACATTTGTATTGGAAATTCTGATTTTGATGTTGGTTGACAGTTGTCTTGAGTTCCAGATGCTCTGCAATTGTCGATATGTTGCTTTTGCTTAGCCGATCAGCGCGTTTACATCTGCATCCGATCCTCCTTGTTCATCAATAATGCTGCCCAAATATGCAATGGTGTTTACATCCTCCAAAGCTTCTTCATCAACTGTGATTTAATTGATTGGTCGTTGATGTATGGTAACTTGAAATATTTTTTTAATACATTTGTTTTACCATTAGCTGTGCTGAATGAAGTAAGATCTTAGATAAATCATAATATATAAATTTATCTTATAATATTGTGTTGTTGTGATTTTATGCCTGGCCTGAATTGTTCACTAATCGAAATACGACTTGTCTAATCTTAGCACTGTGCCAAACCTATGACGTCCGACCGATATGAGCAACTCATCGTCCTTATTGGTCCTTTGTCAGCCTAGTCCTTTCAGTTAGGTCTAGAAAACCAATTACAGCTTCTGCTATGCGAATCATTTATTTTAAGCATACTTGGTTTATATACCGTCCAAACAGACCACATCACACCATAAAATAAGAAATAACATTTATACAAGATGAAGTCAAAATGTGGCTTTAAACGTGAGTGACTGTAATCAATAAACTGAGTACAATTTGAGAACAGTAAATCGTATAATAATAGTCTATAGGTCAAAATGTAGCTTATGATAAGAAGAATATAGATATACATAATTTAGTTACAATAACAATATATATAATATTGGTCCATAAATAGATCTCAGAAGTTACCCGTACTTTAATCTTCACTAGGATATAACATTGAAGGTCATATAACCAACTTTACTGGTGACTTTTTTAAGAAAAAAAATTGACTAAACTGTAAACTTTCTTGTTAAACTTCTTAGTTCCAAATAAGCAACGAATTTAATTTTTCGAAAAAGTTTTTTTTCAGTCTTTTAAAAGGAAAAGAAATGCCAAGTTGATTAGTCAATCTCTGAGGTGTATGTTGGAAAGTAAGGCGAAAGTAATTTCATAGTTAATAACGGAACTAAATAATATTATGAATAGATTAAATGTTTGCTGACTCTGATTATGAATTATGTTGTTCGACTCTCAGTATAATGTTTATTAACAGCTGTCTACGCAAGATACTTCGGATCAGATGGCCAAACACTATCAGCAACAAGTTACTGTGGGAGACAACAAACCAGATTCCAGTGGAAGAAGAAATCAGGAAGAGGCGCTGGAAGTGGATAGGACACACTTTGAAGAAATTACCCAATTGCGTCACAAGACAAGCCTCACATGGAATCCTGAAGGCCAGAGGAGAAGAGGAATACCAAAGAATGCATTACGCCGAGAAATGGAGACAGACATGAAAAGAATGAACAAAAACTGGATAGAACTAGAAAGGAAGATCCATGATAGAGTGGGTTGGAGAATGCTGTTCGTCGGTTTATGCTCCATTGGGAGTAACAGGCGTAAGTAGGTAAGTAAGTAAGTAACAATGTTTATTTATTGAAATTTCATGATTATTTATGGTTTTCGAGGTAATATGATAGTTACGTCTCAACTAAAGGATTTATGATTAACGATGTTATTGAAAAATATAATATAAACTGCCAACTTCACCTACACGGTGAATTTTTTAAAAAAGTTTATGTCCAAATAATACTTACTTTGAGAACGAGAAACAATCGGTGAATTTAATGAATGGCATTTACTTTGTAACATTAGTGCAACTGTTGAACGTGGTCTTGTTAAACCAAAAAAATGAGTAAATGGATCTGCAATACTAGTTAATGCAGATGTTGTACGAAGTCGTGGAATCAGAGGAGTAGTATTCGATTGTTGATATGGAACAATTGACAATGATGATGGTGATGCAAGAATTAAAGACATTAGAAGTCATTAATATTGCATCTGTTGCTGTTGTTGTTGGTAATAATGCTGAATGAATACTTATTTCATCATGACGAAGAGAAGATGAACTTGACAATAAGTTCTCATTAACAACAACACATGGAGTACCTTCAACTGCATACATTTGCAAACAATCATCATCATTTGATGATGATGATTGATCAATTGGTGAACAAAAATTAGATAACCTAATTTGACCACATTTTCACATAGCAGATTGTATTACTTCACATAATAAATTTAATGAATTATCATCATTAAAGGAGCTTGATGTTGATGAACTACCATCACCATGACTGACAGCAACTTCTGACCTAGAGAAAAAGAGTACTTCATATACATGTATGACTGTTCGTTGACAAATTTAACATTACAAAATGAAGGGATATAAAGTAAATCAATAGATTATTATTCCGAACATGTATCATCTGGGTTATTTATTAATTCTGATTCACCCATCACTTGCTTAATCACATAATAGTAAAAATACAAAAACTTCGAATGTTTACAACATAATAACACGTTTATGTTTACTCAGTTTGATATCAATGAGTCCTTTTTTTGAGATGCTGATGATTATAGGAATTGATCTTCCTTCATCTTATCGAATGGATTTTAATTGCTTAATCTTTAGATAGAACTCTAAATGTAAATTGTTTATGATCCCAAATGTAAAGGAAACAGTTACTTTATTTGGATTGGATACAAATAGTTGTGATGAATATCGTTTAATAGTCATATCAGCTAAACTGATGTTAGTGAATAGTTTATCACTTAGTGAAAATATTAAAATAACTTTGATGATCACCTAATAACGATAAAAAAGATAAGGACATTATTTACCTTACTTACTTACTAACGCCTGTTACTCCCAATGGGCCACCGACCAGCAGTCTCCAACTCATTCTGTCCTAGGTCTTCCTTTCTAGTTCGATCCAGTTTTTGTTCATTCTTTTCATGTCTGTCTCCATTTCTCGGCGTAACGTATTTTTTGGTTCTCCTCTTCTCCTTTGGCCTTCACGATTCCATGTGAGGGCTTGTCTTGTGCCCTGAAAGTTTTATTACTTATAACTTGATATTAAATCTAAAATACAGAAATTATTCAAACAAGTTGTAATGAAGATTGGATTGTTATGATGGCAACCATTTTGGCTATAACAATGACGATGTTCTAGGTTTTTAATGTTTGCAAATATCAGAAGGGGTTTTGTGGAGATTTAGTACTTTCATAGTTGAAAGCGTCAGTCAATTGAAGCTAGACCACCATGGAAAACCTGGAAACACTGGATGGTCGTTTCGTCCTATTGTGCCGGCTCAGTGGTATATCAGTTAAGTGCTCTGGCGCGAGACTGATAGGTCCTGGGTTAGAATCTCGCGAGTGCTGGATCGTGGGTGAGCACTGTTGAGGAGTCCCATAGTAAAACGAAACGGTCGTCCGGTGTTTCCAGGTTTGCAAATATGTTTTACTGATGAATCTACCCTAAGGTTTCCTATCATTTTATTGAATTGTTTATCATAGTCATATAATTACATTCATTAATCAATGGACTTTGATAAAAACTTCAATCTGGGAAATTACATCGACTACTACGTGATAAACACTTTACACTCAAACGAAATAAGTAATATGGTGTGGATTACTTATATCCAGATAAGTAGTATATGGTGATGGTCAGACATAGAATGTATTTCGGTAGAAGATCAATAATGAAAGAACAGGAACAAAGCGCAATTGGTATGAAAATGCATAAACAATAAAATTAGAGAAGATGAACTGATGTTTACAGATTCAATCAATTGTTTGTTAATTTGCAAATTAACTGTTAATTGTATGGTTATCAGATTTTAGTGAGACAATCTGTAATTTGTGCTTAAATAGATCCGATTGTCCTCAGTCATGTTCTTGTTTACTACACTTAGTCCCACATTTATAAAATATTGAAGATTTGTTTACTTGATAATTATGAATTGCTTTATAGGTAGGCAATGAACTAACTAAATGCTTCAACTTATTTTTAAAGATTCACTAATATGGAATTATCGACAGTAAATCTTGAAAGAAAAATTCAAATATTAATAGTTTTATTGAAGAGTAGTAACAGTAATAAAATGCCCCCCCCCCATGTCTATGAACCAAATATATATGATCACAGAGTTTATATTCATGATAGTTTGATAACAATCTATTCGTTTATATGTTTAATTGCTGTTTTGGTGATAATTAATTATATTCATGTATCGCTGATATGATCTTTTGCTTTTAATACAGCTTGTTAGTAGTATATTGTAAATAATAATAGTAGTACAAATATTTTCTAACTTAAACGTTTCATTTAAATGTACTTTTTTAGGTATGCAAAAGTCATATGAAAGTAAATAGTTGAGATGGTGGAGAAGATTTGTAGCTCAGGTGGGTGATTTTTATGTTGGTTTGTTCTCTGAGCTGGATGGTTTGGTTGTGGAGCTTTCATCGTCCTTCTGAACGACATCATCAGCACAAACTTCGGGTAGAAGTGAAGTGTTTGAATTTCTCCACATGTGATTCACAGCTTGTCCTCTGCACCTCGATGTTGATTGGTTCTTATTGACCTTAAATCTGTCATTGTTTATTTCTTTGTTTTGATTGTCTCTCCTATTGTTTTGATTTTTGTTCCTATGTTCCTGCATAATTTTCTTGATTGGTTGATAGATTGGATTGATTTCAATATGTTTGTTTATTGCAGATTGACCTGAGTGCCAAGCTTCTAAAAATTCTCTGGTATTTTTGGAATTGCCTCTGTCCAAAATCTGCACATTTTCCCAGTCGAATGTATGTCCGTAGTTGTCCACGTGTATTGATATGAGTGAAGAAATGTCGTGGCGTTTGACTGCTAGTTGGTGTTCATGTAGGCGAAGATGCAGAGGGCGTCCGCTTTGTCCAATATAGTGTTTGTTGCAGTTGGTACAATTTATCTTGTAGATGATGTTTGTTTTGTTCTCTTTTGCCATTTCATCTTTCGGTTTGCATAGAATTGAGTGGTGGGACTTTGTTAGTTTGCGGGCTACACCTATTCCGAAGGTTTTCAGCAGCCTTGTTGTCGTTTCCGATATGCCCTTTATGTATGGTAGGGTGATCCTTTTGTTGATTTTTATACTTGACTTCATTTCTGATGGTGTGTGCGACTGGTATTTTTTGATGAAATTGATTGGATAGCCGTTTTTTTGAAGAATGGTTTTCAGGTGTTTTTCTTCATTTTTTCGTGCTGTGATTGTATTGCAGTGTGTTCTCGCCCTCTTGAACAAAGTTTGTACACAGTTGATTTTGTGAGTTCTTGGGTTGTTGCTATTGTAGTTGAGAATTTGATCGGTGTGGGTCGGCTTCCTGTACACTTGAGTCTCTAGTTTTCCTGTGTCCGTTCTGGTGATTAATACATCTAAGAAGGGCAACTTGTTGTCCGACTCTTGTTCCATTGTGAACTTGATGTCGTTGAAGACGTTGTTGATCTGCTCGTAGGTGTTTTCTAGTTCCTCCTTTTTGACGATGACGATGTCGTTCAGAAGGACGATGAAAGCTCCACGACAAAACCATCCACCTCAGTGAACAAACCAACATAAGAAAGTAAATAGTTTTTGAAATAGTAATTGAGTCTAAAACAATTTGGAAAAAACTAGTCTGCTTTACAAAGTGTTCATTGACAATGATTGGTTTATTTGTACAGAAATAATAATCAGTTAGAATAATGTGAGAATGAATAGGGTAGAAAAAACAATGGGATCTACAGTGAAGGGATAAATTTTACAAATGTCTTTAAATAAGTTGTGTGAAGATTTGGTAAAGTTTTTTCTGGTTAACGTTTTTTAAGCGAGTTGGTTTTCTACGGGATAGGGTCGCTGACACGATGCCCGATCCTCCTCCTTTACCCGGGCTTCGGAGAGGCAGTAGCTCCTGCAGGAGCTACAGGCGGAGTTCAAAATTTTCAATACAAATGTCAAGGCACTTCTATTATATGTGGCGGAGACGCGGAGAACTACGAAACTCATCATCCAGAAGTTACAGGTGTTTATTAACAGTTGTCTACGCAAGATACTTCGGATCAGATGGCCAAACACTATCAGCAACAAGTTACTGTGGGAGACAACAAACCAGATTCCAGTGGAAGAAGAAATCAGGAAGAGGCGCTGGAAGTGGATAGGACACACTTTGAAGAAATCACCCAATTGTGTCACAAGACAAGCCCTCACATGGAATCCTGAAGGCCAGAGGAGAAGAGGAATACCATAGAATGCATTACGCCGAGAAATGGAGACAGACATGAAAAGAATGAACAAAAACTGGATAGAACTAGCAAAGAAGGCCCATGACAGAGTGGGTTCGAGAATGCTGTTCGGCAGTTTATGCTCCATTGGGAGTAACAGGCGTAAGTAAGTAAGATTTGGTTAAATGTTATACAGACAGCTTATAGTCTGTCTTCACTTATTTCGCTAGTGAATAATGTATAAAGAACCTTTGGGAATGTTTTCCATTGTAACGACCAATGTCCGCAGTTTGAATCGTTCATCTGGTTGTAGTTTTCTCTTTGCTGTATGTGTGACATACTATCAAATTCCGAAAGTGAAAAACTTTGACACGAGGTTTTTTGTCTATCGTAAGGAACAAATTTGTGATTCATTTTAAGTTTTAAGCTGATCATCAACTACATGATATTTAATAAATTTTATTTTATTTTATTTTATTTTATTTAAACAGATAAATATTGGTACAAAGGGGTACCAGATATATATGCACCACAAAAATCTCATTTAATTTGTGTGAGGACTGTAATAGTGTCCAGGTGCCCAGACTGAAGCAGGTGGTTTTCTTAGGAGGCCACACCCGGAGCCTTTGACCTGAAGGTGTGGTCCACAAGGTAGTGAAGCATCCTGGCATCCGGCATGTTCTACCAACAAGTGTAAGATACAGACCTCCAATCAACTGCCTATTAGCAGTGGAGCATCGTAAGGAGGTGCAGTCCCATGGTAGCCGGTGGCCAACGATTGATTCATACGTCATTTGTTCCTTCAGGCTACTGGAGCTCATGTGCACCATTGTTTTGGAATCAGGGTTTTCCAACTTCACTAGGTGGACTTTCCGTGTCCACTAATCAGGTTAAAGCGCAGGACATTCGCTTTTCGTCCTCTCAATTTCGTAAACAACAGTAATGCCACGAGAAGGCAGTTAGTAGGACTTCCCTGACAGAGGCCATACGTTCGCGTGGCCATGGGAGAGAATTTCGAGAGGGAGAGTGGACTTTCCCAAATCTCGGCCGTACCAGGGAATGTGGAGCGATAGCTTATGAAGGCCATATATAAAGTATGGTTCACTCTTATAGTTATAGAGAATTATATAAAATCTGGAGAATATGTTTTAGCAGCATGTACTTTAGGCATTACATTCCTAATTTCATAAACAATATTTTATTGAAACCAGTATAAGACATAGTTCTTAATCTTTGAAAATCACTGAATGTACATATAAAAAAAATGTAATAGTGATAGACTGAATATTGAACACCACATTAGACCATTAGGAAAATCTATTGAATGGAATTACATTGTATAATTACATGAACATATCGTTTTTGTAGTATTCATCTATTACCTTGTATAAAATACATTGAGCTGGTTCTTCCCCTTCCAGCCATATAGAATGGTGAATTTTAGTAGGCCCTTCTGGAGAACAGTGCTAAATCAAAACACGGCACAACTACCGGGGTGGGATAGCTGTTTTTACACTGC